TCGAGTTAACAATGGAGCTGCAGTGTTTTTTTCTTCTTTCCAGTCCCAGCGCTATCCCCTGCAAATCCTGTGCAAACGTCATGCCGTTGCCGTGCTGGGCCCCCGAGCCCAGGAGTGAGCGGCCTAGTGGGCGGCCTAGTGGGCGCTGCAGCGCGCTGGTGGGCGTGTCTAGGCTGGCAGCGCGGGACCAACTTGGCTCGCCAAACGAGTCCAATTGCCGAATCAGACCTTCCCCAGAGAAGAAACTTTCTAATGGAGTACAGTCTTTTTCTGACTGTTTTCGTGGACCAGAGCATCAGCAGCAGCAGCAGTAGCAGCACCAGCACCAGCAGAGCTGATTCCGCGAGTCGTCTTCGTCACTCTGTCTCCCTCGCACCTATACGGCACACTCCATGGGTGCGAGAGAGACAGAGCGACGTGTCTCAGTGTGCTGTAGTAGCGTACCTCCAGGGGCCGCCAGCGCTCGGCCCCGGACTCGCTGCCAATTAAAAACTGCTCTACACAGCGTTGGCAGGCTGCAGGGACACTTTGTCCTTCCCCAGGCCGAAGGGCGCCGAAGGGCCAAGGGGCCGGCCACTGGCTGCTGCTGCCGTGTCGCCAGTGTCGCCGCCCCCTAAGTTAGCGGGCGCCTGGGCCCGGCTAGGCCCGCCTAGGCCCGTGAGTGCTTCCCTTCCCACTTTAACTTGCCGCCAAGGGCCCCGCCCCGCCCCGCCCCGCCCCGCCGAGGGACGTGGAGAAACAAACAAGCCGTGTTTGAGTTTCGCCAAATTCAGGTCACTTTCGGAATCCCGATGATGATCCCGCTCGGGGCGGCGCAAGACCTGCCAGCCGTCAGGATGCCGACAGGAAGTCCCATCGCCAAAATGACTGACTTTGTCACTTGTTTGCTTTGAATTTTTTGAATTTTGAATGGCGATCGTACCCATTACAAGATCTTAAGTGCGCTTCGTGCGCTCTACTGTAGAATGCTTGAGGGGAGTTACCTCTTCCTGGAAAGCATTCGGCCTGGAGTGTGCTAGAGTGTAACGTAGTACTTGTTGAAGCACACGAAAGGCAGAGTGAACTCCAGCGAGCACACTCCAGCCAGAGTGTACTTTTGGCAAGCACACTCCAGGTAGTGAACTTACCAAATCCCACTCCAGACAGAAGGTGTCACAAAGTGCAGTCGTCCAGGATGAGAGTGCACACTCCTATTGTAGGCACCTTCTGTCTGGAGTGTAATTTAGTAAGTGCACTCCACCTGGAGTGTGCTTGCCAAACGTACACTCTGGCTGGAGTGTGCTCACTGGAGTTCACTCTTCTGTCTTACGTGTGCTTCAACAAGTACTACGTTACATTCTAGCACCAGGCTCGCAAGGATTTTTGAGTGCGTGAAATCCTTCGGAAACACGACACGCACTGTGTAACTTTCAGTGCGTCAGTGCACAGTAAATGTTTTACGGTGAAGCTGCACTACCAACATAATATGGTTGAGATTTTCTCCAAAATACCAACGAAATTCGTCAAAATCTCTATAAGGTACAGTGAATTCTCAATGGTATGTTACGAAGTCGGCAGCAGCTGCACCACCATATGGAACATTTTCACCATAATATGGAGAATCTTTGCTGTAGAACATTTAGAGTGTGCGTTCCCGGCAGTGTACAGTGCCGTGGCGGCGGCCCTCGGCGAGACCACCAATTATTGAAGATGAGGTCGTGTATCACCAACTCGGATTAGCGGTATCGTCACGTGCAGTTATCCCGCCTGGCGTCGCAGTTCGGCGGCAAAATCATGAAAACGGGGAGGACGCCGGGAGAGGGGCAGCGGAAAGGAAGGGGGAGGGGGGGAGGGGGAGGGGCGGCGTGCTAACGAGCTTCTTTGACGACCACGTCGGTGGAAGGGCGCCCCGGCCCACTGATCCCGGATCATACCTCACGCTCCAAGGCCCGCGAAGGCCGGCCTGCCCGGCGCCTGCCTGCTTTCAAACAACACGACGCACGGACAGACGGACGGACGGACGGGGACGAATGGAATGGAAGACCGACCCGTGATTTGGCCGGCCGACAGGCAACCATCCGATCAAAATTGGAAAATATTTTAAAACAGATGGATGGTCCAATCCGGAGAGAAGCCGACCAACATTTGGCCGACCAGCAGGCAAAAAATCGGATCAAAATAAATAAGTTACTTTTGAAATATGGATGTCATAAGAACCAACCAACAGGCAAAATTAAGATCAAAATTAAAAAAAAAAAAAAAACAGTCGACCGACTAATAGACAGCAATCCTTGAAAAATGAAATGATTTGTAAAAAGTTTGGGAGTTGTTGCAAAGCAAAGGGAGCATGACTGGCAAACTATCCCCGCTTACCACCGACAGACTGCACGTGTTGTTTGACCTGTCATGCGAGGACTGACTTTATTTTCGATCGGTCCGAATGCCACTGTGAAACACTGACTCCCGTTCCAGCCTCCAAGCTTAGGCTACTTCCAACTAAACTCTTCCGGGCCATTCCCCTGGCCGGCACTTTCAGGCACTTCAATTACTTCTTTTCTTCTCTTAAACTTTTCGACGGCATCGAGTTCTTATAGATCACATTTTTTTGTTTGTTTGTCATGACGGTTTATACACTGTGAGCTGTTTTCCAAGCTCTGCGCACGCGCGGCGGGCGGGCCGAGAGGACCAAGTGGCATCCTCTGCGCCCCACTGACCCTCTGGAGGTCGTCCACACATGACGTCATCACCCAGGAGGGCGCTTTGATTGCGTCCTATGCATGGAAGGGTAGGTTAGGAAATGATAACATGGGGGAAGGAGGGGTCAAAAAATCTCGTGATAACGTCATATGTGAACGACCCCCTGGCACGCCCACCAAGATTGCGCAGGGGCATTCGAAACGGAAACAAAATAAAGAAAACCTATTGGACACACATTCCTTTTAAAAAAATATGTCCGTATATAAAAGCTACGTACACTATGGAATATCGCAAATATATGCCCAATCTAGTTGATGCCATATCTTACACAAAACAAGACACTTACTTCTCGAAACTCACCGGAACTTGTGCGCTGACTTTCTTAAACACAAAACGGTCAAATAAAAAAACAAAATAACATAAAGCACATCATCCACTGTTTTGTCTTCTTCGGCGATGACACGAATATCACACTTTCTCTCTTGAAACCACAAACATGAACTCAAAGTCTCTGACTCGCGCACACACACACACACACACTCACAAAAGGCAACACGACACATTAAAAAACGCAACATACACGACGACAGCGCGCAGTAGCCACATTAATCAGAATGATAAAAAGTAACAAACACACACACACACACACTTGCACGAACACATACACATTAGGCACGTCGGGGCGTTTGCTGTAAAAGTCCTGGCCCCTGAAATGAACACAACAGAGTAGAGAAGCACCCACCAAATAATGAAACGCAGTCCGGGGGACTTGAATGGGGACAAGAAGGGGGGGGGGGTGTCGTTCCCGAGGGCAGCGCTCACAAACACAAGCAGGAAGCGTGTCCCTTTTTGTTTGAAACAAATGTGGGCGGGCCGCATATGGCCCCGTACTCGATTAGCGCTTATCCAGTGTGCAGCGCGGTCGCCGCGGAAGAGCGACGAAGAGAGAGTGCCTCTCTTTTGCGCCTCTCTCGGGGTTCTCCGGCGAGCGACCTGCCGGGACGGATGTGCCAGACACCGTCCGGCAGCCCGCTGGCCGCAGGGAGAGAGACAGATAGAGCGAGCACGTCTTGGGGGGGGGGGATGTGATTTGTGATTCGGTTGAGCGAGTGGAGGGGAAGGTTTGTTGGGGGGGGGGATCACAGCAAGTGTTCGTTGCAAAACGTGGCGAGCGATACAGACGTTCTTGGTCTGACACAATGACAAATAAAAATATAAAAGGATCGGATCGTTGCGATAACAGTGTCGTGGACCGCACGCGGCGCAGTCTAGTGCACTGTAAAACTTTGAATGGTGATAACGCAAGTGCGGGGAATCCTCGCTCAGTGGAAAAATGTTTTCTCAATGTTGCAGTCTCAACGTTTCACAACAAAGTGAAGGTTTGAGTAATAAGCAGTGACGCAAATTACCTCTGGGAATGAGGTCGGTGGGGTGGGGCAGTCACATTAAGCAGTTCTATTGAAAAAAAAACCTGAATGCATTTACTCGAGTCCTGAACGCTTAGTCGGTAATCGTCACATCAAATTGGTCATTCGGAGTACACGCGGCCTGCCCGCAGGCACGCACTCGAAACAGGCTGAGTGTGGCGACTAGCAAGTCTTCGAACAAACCGCCACGCGAACGCCTCAAAATAGTCAAATACATAAATATTTGGAAGGAAGGATTTTTTCCCCGCGGCGCAGAAAATAAAATCATGATTCCAGCGGGAAGATTTATCGTGCTTCCGAAGTCAGTCGACTTGTGCAGAAAGGCGTTCTTCGCTTTTCGACAGCGTAGGCCGCAAATTCAGAGCGTCAATACGAAACGTGACTGCGCCGCCCTGCCGAGCGCGTTTTCTCGACTACGGGACGGGGGAGGGGGGGGGGGGCGTTGGTGGTGGGGGCTTTTACAAATAATAACAACAACAACAATAACCGTACAAAAAGCAGTCCTTCTACGACACGATTCGGACACGATGGACGGAGCGGGCGTCACGTCCTCGAGGTCATGAAGCCGGAGGGCTCCTCCTCGTAGGAGAGCGGCGAGCAGAGCACGTCCACCTCCACCTCCACGGTGGCGAGGGTGGAGTTGGTGGCGGAGCGGCGCGGCCGGCGCACGGCCTTCTGCCGGCCGCTGCTGTAGCGGGATGACGAGGCGTTCGCGCTGTGCGTGGTCACGCTGTGCATGGCCACGCCGGGCGCGGTGCCGCCGGGGGTCGTGGCGGGGTGCGGTGCCCACTGGCTAGGCACGCCGCTCGGCCCCGGCCGGCACACCACCTCGTCATCCAGCGGTAGCTAGCTGCTGAGGGACGTCATGATGTGGCTGTCCATCGTGTCCTCGCGATGTCAGAGCGGCCGCGTCGACTCGGCGCCCTCGGGGCCGTCGGGGCCGTCGGCGTGGCTGGGCGCCAGCATGTCCACGCGGGTGCTGATCGAGCAGTCGCTGCAACAGAGAGAGAAGGGTGCGTCAGGCGGCTGCAGCGGCGAGACTCTCACACAGTGTGCATGGTGAAAACGGTTCCGGGTTCGCCCAGGTGGCACAGTGGGTCAGATGACCGGCGCAGGCGGCCGAAACTCTATAACCGAACGTGCGACACCCACCAATGGACTCCTCGTTCAGCGACCAATCCATTGGTGGGGTCACACGCTCGGTTCGAGTCCCATTTAGCGACTCCATAGAGCTCAAAGCGCGTCCGGAATTTCGACCGCCTCCACCGGTCTTCTGGCCCATTGTGGGTAGGCTATCAAAACAGCACAGGGGATTTCCAGGGAGCTCCTGGGAAAACCAGGACCCGTTTTTGCCGAGTGGGGCAGAATTTCCAGGCGGGCGCTGATGGAACAGTCGCTGCGACACAGAGAGAGGGGCGGCGTCAGGTAAGTGCGGCGGATTAACTTTCACAGAGTGGGGATCAGGGCCGTGTCGAGTTTCGCCAGAGGACACGCACGTGACACATAGAAAGGGTCGTTTTTACACGACACTCTGAAATAAAAAAAAGTCTTCAATTCAGCAAAACGCCCCATGAACATTTGCAAAAGGCTTCGCTAATCAAGGTGGGACGGTTACACGAATCGTCGGCTTTGTCGTCAACGTCAACATTTCCTGCAAATTCCAGCATTTGATGCTGACGATTTTTTTCCGGCCATCAGCCAAGGTGAAATGTTGACTATTTTTTCAGTGCATCAGCAAAGGTGAAATGTTGACGACTTTTGTTCAGTGCACCAGAATCGAATCTGAGCACCAGCAGCAGAGCGCCTGTGGAACGGAGGGTAGGCAAGCCCGCCGAGCTCACCTGTCTCCGTGTTGCCTATCCTTCACTTCACAGGCGCTTAACTCCCAACCTCGCAAACTAAGTTCAGCGTCACAAACAAAAGTAGCTTGATATAGACAAAGCCATAAGCTTTGCTTTACAAAAGATACACCTTATAATTACCAAGTAACTCGTCGTATGAAAAACGTAATAGTTCGAACCTCAATCAAAGTACTTCGAAAGGTTTATAGCGACTTCTCAAATTTCTAAATTATAACTCTCGCCTGACAAATGTACCCCACGCGAACTTCTTTAACTCGAAATAGTGTTCATGCCGAGAGATGCTGGACGCGTTACCCGACAGTGCGTAGACTCAGACTGCCCAGGCCGACGCCCGGTCCACGCCACTGGAAGGGACCGGGGAGGGGAACATCTCCACGGATAGCGTCTCCCCGCTGTAGCGCTGCCGGAGTTGGAGTTGGATTCGCTGGACATCGCTTTGCTGCCACGAAGCGCCGCGGCCCGGAACACACCAAACGATCGAGGGTGTGGGGCTCCAAGCCGAGCTGAGCCGAGTCGAGCCGGACCGAGCCGGGGGCTGAGCCGAGCCACGCCTGAGCCGAGCCGGTGGTTGAGCCGAGCCTGAGCCGAGTCGGGCCGTAACACGCCGCTCGCAGCGCACTCTTCCAAACGAGGAAAGGAGAAGGCAGCCTTCCCTGCCGGAGTCCCTGCCACACGCACTCAGCACTGACGGCGGGACACAGTGGGCCAGAAGACCGGTGGAGGCGGCCAAAACTCTAGACGCGTTTTGAGCTCCAGAGTCGCTAAATGGGACTCGAACCGAACGTGTGACCCCACCAATGGATTGCTCTCCGAACGAGGAATCCATTGGTGGGGTCACACGCTCGGTTCGAGGCCTGTTAAGCGACTCTGGAGCTCAAAACGCGTCTAGAGTTTTGGCCGCCTCAACCGGCCTTCTGGCCCACTGTGCGGGGCTCAGAGCGGCCGGGCAGCCGGGCCTGTCAGACAGGGGGAGCCCAGGCGGAGCTGGCAGCCACCACACACAGCGGCCGCAGCCTCCAGGTTTAACCGACCTTGAAGCGAAGGGAAGCGTCCCAAGATTTGCCCGGCAAATAGGCCGTTTGAGACCGACCGACCAGCCACTACGGGCCGTGCAGCCCGCGCCGTGGACAGGCGCGGCTACAGAATGGGATGGAGGTGGGGCAAAGGGGTTTTTGTCCCCCACAGAACATAGCTAGCCACCTGAAAGGTAGGCAAAAAGCCATGTATTTCCCCTGTAATAGGCCAAGGCTACTTTGCCCCCCCTCCCACACAATACATACACACACACACACACACACACACACACACACACACACACACACTCACACACAAACTCACAGACACACAGAGCCAGTCTCGCAGTGTGTGGTCTTCGCCGAAACCTCCGCGTGGTGCACGGGTATGCAAGGCAACTCCCATCCGCGCCAGACAGCCTCCACGCCGCGCCTCGCCAACCGCGCACTTGCGATACAAATTAGCTCGCGTGTACCGACACGGCGTGGCCGGCCGCCACACTGGCGCCACTTTCCGCCAGTGTGGTGTCAGGAGCCAAGGGGGAAAGCCTCGCGAGCAGCTCCACTGTGATTCCAAATAACGCTGCTAACGGCACGTATGGTGCAAATGCCATAACCACATTGCACCTCGCGTACAATGCGTCCTGAAAGCGCCATGTACAAACGCGTACCAAGGCATTGCACTTCACGTGAGATTCAAAAGCTCGTGGAGCATGCGTAACAAGGATTCTCCTCTTAGGAAGCGTCATGCATGGAATTAGCTCACGAGTTTAATTTTGGCGTGAAGGTGTCGTTTGTTGTTTTTGCTGTTGTTGTTGTTGCTACTCCACACACCGTGTTCCAACAGTGGCCTGCTCCTGAATCACAGCACCAAAAAAAAACTGACAACGTGAAATTCACGGCCCAGCAGGCAAACCTGGTCGGGGCCTCAGATGTTTTCCCGGGTCGTTTTGATGGAACACCGCTGGGAGGTGGGCGGTGGTGCGGTGCGCGCGCTGTGGGGGCAGCCGGGGGCGGGGGAGGGAAGGGGGGGGGGGCGTCGGGTCTGGCGGCCTGGCCTGGGACGTGTTGCCAACATATTTCCCCGTCCAGCCGTGCCGGGTCAGCCGCGTTGAGGATCAAGCCATGTCGGCCAGCCCCAATCTACACGAGGCGTGTACAGTGGAGCCGCCCGCCTCGCCCCGCCTGCACAGCTGCGATCCTCAGACGAGCTGCCCGTGTGCAAGCGAGGATCCGGAGGGAGAATGCGCCCTTAAGCCCCTGGATAGCCACCTGGTCGGCAAAACAAGTGCGGGTCCATGGTGGTGGTGGCAAGGGTGTCCCCTCTGCCTAAAGGCCGCCTAAAAGGTAGGCGAAAAGTAACACTTCGCTCCTGTCTGTAGGCAACTTCTGCGTCATTGCCCCAAACCAGACTTGCCCCCGGATCCTCCCTGGGACAAAACGCAACACTTTGCCCCGGTAAGCAGGCAACAAGTGAGACTTTGCCCTCGGCCAGCCCTTTCGGCCGGCCCTGGCTCGGCTCCGCCACTGCCCGTCCGCGGCCCGGCGTTGGCGTTTTCGAGTGGCGGTTCGTCTGATTCTCCAGCGGGCTCCTCATTCCGCGGCGGCCTTTAATGAGTCCGGCATGACGGGGAATGTGGCTTTGCGCCGCGCGCTGTGCGCTGTGCGCGTGCCTCGGTTATTTAGTGCACACCTGTTGAGGCGGACCAGCGCCGACCCACCGGACGTTTCTTTCGGCACCGTTTGTGTTTCGCCCGCCCGGCCAGCCCGCAGTGTAGGCAACCCGTCGTGCGGCCAGCCTGCAGTGTAGGCAACCCACCGTGCGAGCGTGCAGTGTAGGCAACCCGCCGTGTGGCCAGCCTGCATAGTCCAGTGTAGGCAATCCACCTTGCGGCCAGCCTACCCGGTCCACTGTTGTAGGCAACCCGCTGTGCGGCCAGATCGCCAAGTACAGTGTAGGCAACCCGCCGTATGGCCAGCCTGCATAATCCAGTGTGTCAAGCCGCCGTGCGGCCAGCCTACCGAGTCCAGAGCAGGAAACCCATAGAACGATGCGGATAGGGTGCACAAGGGGATGTTACGACGAAGACATTCCGAAAGGGTTGCCTACCAGCCCTAGGCCACATCAGACAACTTCTCGCGAGGAAATTCCAGGTAGTGCGAGGTTGGCAGGCTGAGGCTCACAAACCCCTTTTGACAGTGGCGATGGCCGGCTGTGGGAAGTTATGCCGACACACACTAAATTCCTTATTTTGGCTGCACCGCAGTTTCAGCCTGCGGAGTCGAGGGTAGGCAACCCAGTGGGTCGCTCTGCCCTGCGGGCTGGCCTATCCTGGACTCGGCGGGCGCTCGGGTGCGCTCCACTACAACAAGGAGTCTGCCTTGGAGGCGGCGGGGTCGGTTGCGTGCATACTGAACTGGTCCTTAGCGAAGGCCAACGAGAAAGCCCCTCTCGAGGGATGCTCCGGCCCCGCCCCGCCCCGCCCCGCCCCGCCCCACTCCAGGCCCCCAATCGGGTCAGCCCCGGGGTCCTCGGGCCGTCTCGCCCCACCGAGTCAATTGGGAGAGGGGCTCAAGTTGTGGCGATGCGTTGGCAGCACCGTCGGCCCGTCGGCACGGCGGTGGGAAGGGGGGGGGGGATAGGTCGAGGAGGGCGGGTCCGGGCGAGATACAGGTCATCCCTCAGCACAGCTCTCCGGCCGGGCGTCCACTCCCCCAGGGCCCCAGGGTGCAGTTTCATAAGAAGCGCCCCCCACCCCTCTTTTCCTTCCGGACTCCAGAACCCCGTGCGGCTTATCCTGTAACCCATATCCAGAGTCGAGACTCGAGGCGGAGTGGAGCCAGTGCTCTCACCTTGGCAGCATGGCAGGCCCATCCCGGCGTCTGCTGTGTGGCGGGGCCTGGGTTCAATCCCGGGACGAGATAATAGTTTTCTCTGCTCCGGCTCCACCCGCACTGCCCCACCCCGCCGCCCAGCCCCGCACGAGCGTGTCGCCAGTTGTGTCGGCACCCGGCGGCGCGCGAGGCGTTCGGTTCGGTGGCTCAGCCGACGTGAAGTTCATCTTGCTCAACGTCAGACGCGCCGAGGAGAAAAAGGAGAGAGAGGCGGGGGGAATCGT